GTAATACCTGAGTGCAGAGCCAGGAGGAATCCCTGAGCATCACTGGGTGTGACCCAAAAAGAACACACGGTTTCCGTGTGTGCTCCCTGGTACCCAGAGCTGCCCTCATGGGCTTGTTCCTCCTCCCCCTCGGGGGTGTCTGCTCCCCAGACCCAGTGCCCTCCCCCCTCCATCAGCCCCTGCACTCAGGGGGCCTCATCAGAGCCGGGGACTGTCCTGTCCACCCGGCAGACCTTCCACCTGGCGGACCCACTGGACCCTGCCCAGGCTAGTCCCCTACCCCTGTTTCTTGCCTCTGCGGATGGCGTCAGCAGCCACCCCAGCTCTGGAGCTAGAATTAGGAGTCATCCAACACACAGTCATCCACAACACCTCCCTCTCACCCCCACGTGGAATTGGTCATCAACTCCTATGGGTTCCACCGAGGATCCCCAGCGCACGCAGCCGCACCCCCCCCCCTACCCCATCCCCACTCCCAGCACACTGGCAGCGCTGTGGGTACCACCTGGTCCTCTGGGATTCCAAGGGCCATTGTGTTTCCCCCACTCCAGGTCATACTCTGCACCCAGCACCTCCAGAGAGACCTTTCTAGAACCAGGTCGGTAGCAGGGCCCGCCTCTACTCAGAATCCTTCCTTGGCTCCCTGTTGCCCTTCACATAACACGCTGACTCCTTGGGGCATCCCCCTGCTCCAGCCTTACCACTGCATCCTGCCACATTCCCAACCTGGCCCACACCTCACCAGGCCACACTGATTAGCTCCAGCTCTTCCTTTCACCCACTTTCAGCAAAAGAGCCTCCATTTCCTCCTGGGCCGGCCATCCCCTCCTCCTTCGAGAAGCCCTCCTTCCTTACGCTTCCCCCATGCAAGCTATAACCGCAACCTGTCTACAGTTTCCATGGCACGTGGTCGCCGGTGTTTATCTGCGCTGGTAGCTGACTCTTTCCCTAGACTTGGAGCTTCTGCAGGGCACAAGCTGCTCTTGTCCATCTCTGGGGGCCCAGCCCTGTTATGACAGTCGGAACAATCTGCCGACTTGAGGGCTGATTGAGTTGACACGAGAGAAGCTTTGGATGCCAGCTCCATCCCCAGGCCCCCGCTCCTGTGTTCCCCCCTAGTCCACCCCCAGCCTTTCCACTATTTTCTCTCCAGGCCTCCCTCCTACCTGCTGCCCTCAGAACCATGGGGAGCCCGGGAGGGGGTGCTGTCTGGGTCTGCCACAGCCGCTAGAGGAGGGTGAGACCCCCATCTTCACTCCAGCCAGGGAGTGGGCCGAGCGGGCTGGCCGGCCATGGCCCTGGCCCGCGTCCTCCGTCGCGGCGGTGAGCAGCCTCGGATTTTAATGCGGGCCTCAGTGCTTCAGTGAAAGCCGGCATGGGAAGTTGCTAATAATGGCACTAAAATAAAATATGCTACATCTGTTATGGGTAGCAGAACAAAATTAGCTGCTCACACCTCTGACATCCAAGATGTCTTAACTTAAAATACTCCTTGGCTTACTTTACATCATTTACTGATTATATTTAAAAGAAATACAATTTTGCAATTACTGTTCTTCCAGCGTGATATCTATGCATCATTTTCCTTTTATGTTTATATATTTCTCCTTCATTAGTGCAGTCTGAAGGGTGATTAGGATTCTTCAAACATTTTACAGAGGTTAAACGTTGATTAAGATTTAATTATTACTGTAAATAGCTTGCAATGACATATGGTGCAAAAGCCTGACATATGTGCATTTGAATAAATGAAGTGCTATTTCCCAGGATGCCTCAGTAGCTGTTTAACAGCTTTCCCGAAGGGTTATGTTACACCTCATGCTAAGATTGCTGGGATGTTATATTTTGTTGGTTTTTGCAGCTGAAAGCTAAGAACAGTTTTCCAGTTTTTTAAAAACATTGAATATTTTAAATACCTAAATTGTTTTGCACAAATTTTTGCTAATTTGTCTAACTAGGTTAAACATTTTCAAAAGCATTTAGATTTTTAAGCGTGGGCGCTGTGCATTGTGTCAGTAGCGGCGTGGGGACGAGGGGAGCGGTGGGGCGGAGGGGGCTCCGCGCGGCCGCAGGGGTGGGGAGGAAGGAGGTAGTTTGAGGAGAGGGGGTGGGGAGCAAGCTGGATCCCCGAGTCTAGCTCTGTTCTCTTTGGCCCTCTTGAGTATTTGAAGCCTGGGTATTGGGGGACCTGGGACCATGGCAGAGGGGCACCCCCTTCTCCAGGACATCAGCAGAGGCCCCCAGTGCTCGTTCATGCCCAGTTTCCCCTTTGTCTGCCCTCTGATGCTCAGCTGGGCTGCCCTGGGGTCTTTGAGGACCGGGTCTGTGTCTGGAACCTTCTCCCTGCCCCCCAGCATGCCCGTGTCTTGCTGAGGAGCAAGTACTGCGGAGCTGAGAGACCCTGGTGCCTGGACTACCCAGGAACATGTGTGGCTGCAGACCAACACTTGGGGTGCGGTGGACCTTCCAGGTCACCACTGCTGAGGGCGCTCAGTGCTTCTGCACACTTACTGTACTGCCCCCAGGTCTAAGGAGTCTGAAGGGGAGACAGGAGAGATGAGCGAGAGTGCACCTCAGAGCTGGGAGCCCAGGCCCATGATGTGGCCCCCCTGGTAAAGCACCTGCCTGGTGTGCATGAGACTTGGGTTAGATCCCCAGTATCACAAAAAGGGGAAAAAAAAAGAAAAGAAAAGGAAACCCGGTGGCCGGAGAGATAGGACCATGGGTAGGGTGCTTCCCTTGCCCATGGCTGTCTCAAGTTCAATCCCCAGCATCCCAGACAGTCTCCTGAGCACTGCCAGGAGTGATCCCTGATCCCTGAGCACAGAACCAGGAGTAAGCCCTGAGGGCAGCTGTGTGTGGCCCCTAAAGAAACAAACCCCCAAAAAACAAAATCCCACAAGACTGAGGTAATCCAGCACGCGCTGGAGCTCAGGAAGGTCCTGGCATGGCGGCCACACCCAGATGAAGGAGGGACTGTGGCCAGAACCAGAAGATGGGTCAATGATGGAAGAAAGCAGGGTCGGAGGAGGAAGTGAAGGGCTGAGCGTGGGCATGGGAGTGGTCTTTTGGGTAAATAAAGGATGTGTCCACGGGTCTCCTGGCAGCGTTCTGAGCTGGAGGGAGTCAGGACTGGGCTACTGAGCCTCCTTAATGATGAGGCCCCCCCAACCTGTGCTTCCGAGGCTCCCCTGGCCACAGGGGAAGAACTGGAGTGTTGAAGGAAAGAGAGCCCGGGACATTAGTCCAGATGGTCATGGGTGCAGGCATAGGAGTCTGCTTGAAGCTGGAGGAGGACACGGATTCATCCCTATCTGAGACACACTGGATTCAAGAAACTATCCCTGAGACAGCCAGCTGTGGCCTGGACTCCAGGGACTGGAGGGGCAGGTGTCAGCATGAAGGGGACCCCTCAGAGGACGCTGGCTGGGAAGAGATGGATTCTTCAGACTAGCCCCACAGGTGTCACAAAGGAGAGGGGGCAGTGATCTTGAGAAGGAATCTTTGTATGGAATGAGAACAGAGGCTGTGGGGCAAGGGAGTACTACGCAGCTCTGAGGAAAGAGGTGAGCATGCAGTTCACCGCAACATGGACAGAACTGGAGGGCATCATGTTAAGTGAAATTTGTCTGTGGTAGAAAGACAAATGCTTAGATGCTCTCACTCCTCCGTGGACTACAGAGAGATGAAAAGAGGGAACAGACAGGATGGAAGGATGACCAACCTTGGATTACGGAACTGATGAACAAGCAGCGTGGGAAGGAGGGGAAGTAAAGATGTGGATGCATGGAGAGACACTGGCACAGAGGGGCAGGGTCCTGGAATGAGAACAGAGGCTCATTCAGAGGTGCAGTAGTTTTGGGGTTTGGTGGACTTACTGGGGGATTAGTTCTTGAGCCACACTCATCGGTGCTCAGGGGTTACTCCTGGCTCTGTGCTCAGGGATCATTCCAGGTAATGGGGGACAAAACTAGAGTTGGCTGTGTGAGTGCCTTAACCATACAGTATCTCTCCTGTCCCTTGGGTGTAGCTTATCACATCAAAACCATACACTCAAACACTACTATAACCAAGTTTGTAAAACTAACTTTGTAAAACTGAAAGAAGAAGGGAGGAGAAGGGAAACGGCGGGTGTGCACGGGGCCTGAAGGAGACTAATGGGGGGTGGAGAGAAAAGGTCCCTGGAGATGATGAGGGCAAGCCGATGAGCCGGAGCTTTCATCCTACTGTACAGACCTGGGGAGGAGGGATGCCCACCTGGGGGCAGTGTGCCCAGGGGGGTGGGAGGGACAGCGTCCCCTGGGTCAAATCTGCTTTCCCAGGGGAGGGGACAGGTGTGAACCCAGGCAGGTTGTGAATGTGATGATGGGGTTCTGGTGGTGCCTTCAAGTGCCTTTTATTTTCCCAGTCGCGGGGAGAAAGCCCGCCTGCTTGGGATGCATGGGGGTAGCTGAGGAGCACGGAGTGGGGTGGGCGGAGGTGGGAGGCCGAGAAGAGGGCCCCGACCAGCAATGTGGCCATGTGGGGGAGGCTCGTGGCTACAGTGAGTGTCCGGCCAAAGTCAGGCTCAGCGCAAGTGAGCACGGTGGGGGGTTGGGGCGCGGAGCTGAGGGGTGGAGGGGAGAGGTGGAGACCAAACTTGGGGTTCCCAAGCTCTGAGCACGGCTGGGGCGAGAGGGGGTGGGGTGAGGGAAGGAGGGGACCTGAGACTCTGGAGTCCCTGATCACAGGGTGTGGGTCGAAGAAGTCCAGCTGGAGAAGTTCTGAGCAGTGGCCAGCTAGGGTGTAGACAAAGTCCCTGTTGAGGAAAAGGAGACACAAGAACTCGGAAGCCACAGCAGGTGGGGGCACCACCCACGTGGACAGGCTGCGAGAGAAGACCCCAGCCCCGTGGAGGGAGGGTGTCCGCAGGCGGGCAGAGGGGCGGGCAGGCTGTGGGCAGGAGGATGGTCCCTGCCACGACTCACCTTTCCTGTCCCCCCCTCCCCCTCTCTCCTCAGATCGAAACCTCCCAGTTAGAGCCTGAGATTGCCCGGGCCACGAGCAGCAGGACCGTGGTGTACAACAAGGGGCTGTGAGTGGCGGCGGCGGCCCGGAGACGAAGCGGGGGCCAGGCAGGGAGTCTCCTGGGCTGACCCACGGGGAGTGGGGAGTGGACCCCGACAGCACCCCCCACCCCCACCCCCCCTCCAGGGGAACACTGACTGCAGGGGTAGGGAGACTAATCTATTCACAAGTTAACAACATAGAGGAGAGGAATGCTGACGTGTTTCCTAGACAAAGCGTAATAATCAAGTGCATTTCTGGGCCTTACCTGGGGTGGTCGGACCTCTCCTCAGCACAATCCCTTGGGGAAGCTGAAAGCCTGTCGAGTGCCCACAGGGTAGAGTTAGGATCCTTTTATACTTTTGGTTCCTTTTTTTATTTTTATTTTTGTATCAGAAGCACGTCTGAGCTTTGGCTGCGGCTGCCCCGATGTGGCAGGTGGCTGGTTGGTGTGGTGGCCACGCTGAGTGCCGATGTCCCCTGGGAGGCCTCTCGGGCTGGGTGGGGCAGGGCTGGGGTGGGGGATGGTTGCTGCTTCACAGGATGAACCAGCCATGAATAAGTTCTTTGGAGCTGGCCCTGGGAATCGGCGCTCTCGAGGCCTCTAGAAGATCCTGTGGGCAGCTGGCTCTGAGAACGTCCGGCCTCCATCCATGCCCCACGAAGCAGAGTCTCACACGGGCCTGGGTGCACCCTGCACAGCGTCCTGGTCCAGGGAGGCCCCCGGAGGAGGACCCGAACTCCAGGCAGGAACCCCCAAGAAGAAATTATGTTTGCGGAGAATGGTGGACTCCATCTTCTGCAGGATAACGACCTTTGAGCACCCCCCCATCCCACAGCCTCCTGAGTGCACAGCCCTGGGCTGAGGCCCCAGGCCCAGAGGCACTGCCCAGCTCCACTGACAGACTGTGTGACCCGGGACACGTGGATCTGTGCCCAGAACCTGGGGGCTGGACCATGGGGCTCCCTCTGGGTGGGCTCTTCCTCCGTCTGTCCTGCTCGATGCTGGTCATCCCGAGGGAGGTAGACTGGGAACAGGAGGGGCCAGAGCTGGCCTGACAGCCTGGAACTGAGTCCTTCTGTGTGACCCCACAGCACGGCAGCATGAGGCCAAGGCCAGTCTTGGGCGGTTTGGGAGGAGGAGGAGGAGGAGGAGAAGGAGGAGGAGGCCCTGGGCCTGAATGTGGGGGCCCCCTGCATGTCACCGGCAGCCTACCCTGTCCCTTGCTGCCGACTTCACACTTCCTCCCCTTCACAAGCCCAGGGAGAGGAGAGACTGCAGAGGGGAGCAGGGCCGAGGTGGGGGATGAGCAGGGAGGCCCCCAACCTGCAGGACCCGGCAGAGGAGAAGCACAGGCCTGAGAGCACCTTGCTTCAAACCCAGCCCGAGAGGAGCACCCGTCTCACAGCGGGGCTTCCCTTCCGGCCCCTCTTCCCAGACCACCCCTCAGCGAAGGAGTGCTTGTGTGCTGGGGACCCTCCCCATGCTTCTCTGGAGCCCCTGCAACCCTCACCTCCCAGCATTGTAATCCCCGACCCCCCCCCCCCCCCGTGAGCTCCCCAGGGTGCTTCCCTGAGGGCCCCCGGCCCCCTCCAGAAGGGGAGAAGATGGGTCAGAGAGCCGGGGAGGGGCTTGGGGAGCTCCTTCCGCTATCTGTGAGCAGGGCTGAGCTGGTGGAGTTCTCCGGGGAAGGCCGGTGAGGGGGGGGCTGGGTCCCCGCCACTTTGAGTCCACCCTGCTCCGCCTTTCCTAGGGACACATCCTTGTGCACTTTACTTTGGGACCAAAACTGCTGACCCCAGGCCCCCCCATTCCCCACCCTAGAGAGGCCTGGCCGAGGTGGGGAAGGGTCTCTGTGTCCATCCCAACCCTGGGCACTCGGCAGCTCGTGTTCCTGTTGGACACAGGTGAGCTCAGAGGGACAGAGGACACTTCCGGTCCAGGGTTCAGGGCGAGCCAGGGGCAACGACCGAGGAGAAACTCCATCCAGCTCTGCAGAAGTCAGGAGTCCACGGCTGCAGAGGCCCTCCTGAACCCACCGCTGGGGGCGCCCGCCTGGCTGGGACAGAACACAGGGGCTGGCCTGGCAGGGTTATGGATACCCCCCACCCCCCAATCAGGCTCAGAGATGCCCCCCATTTTCAGAGAACAATGTGAGTGAGAGTCGAGACCAACAGCCACAGTCCACGAGGGCACCCAGGCCCGAGCCCACTTGCGATTGAGCTGCCTTGTCTTCCTGCCGGGGCCTCCACGGGGGAGACAGGCGGGGACCACAAAGAAAAGTGGGCAAGGGCCCATGGGGAGAAGGAAGGGGCTTGTCCGGCCGGGGCCTCCACCCCACAGGGCTTCACGGTGTCTGTTTAACCTTCTCAGAAAAGTCTCCATCTCTGTGATTTACGTAATACTAATGCACTGTGGGTAATAAATGACGGATATTACAGCACCAAGATGTGGCTTTGTGAATTGTGGTGGTGGCGGTGCAGAGACTTGGGGGTGGGTGGGGTGTCCAAGCCCAGGGGTCTGACCAAGGGTTTCATGGAAGACCCCTGAGGAAAACCCACGGGCCCGGCTCAGAGAGGCTCTGAGGGAAAGGAAAGAAGAGCCTGTGAGGGAAGAAAGTTGGGCTGAGGGGATGAAAGGAGACTGCAAACCCTCTCAGGGCTGGAGAGACTGCAGCAGGCACATTCGCCTTGCACACAGCGGACTCAGCTCCCATCCCAGGCGCCTCAGATGGTCCCCGGAGCACCACCAGGAGGGACCTCTGAGCACAGAGCCAGGGGTAAACCTGAGCACCACTGGGTGTGACTGTGCCTGATCCCAGTTCAAATCCCTGGTAACCACGTACAGTCCCCAGAGCACTGCCAGGGGTGATGCCTGAGCACGGCTGTGTATGACCTAGTCAGAACCCTTATCTTTACAAAGCAGCTGCTGAGAGTTTATGGCCCCCACTGTGAGCAACATGAAGAGAGAAGGAAGTCTGGTAGCTTCTCTCTCAGGAGACTGGAAACAGGAAGGGGTGGGGGTGGAGGGCATTGGTGGCATCCTGGGTTCTGGAGGAGGAAAGGCCTGTCCAGGTGAAGGGGCACCTGGTGAGTGCAGCATATGTCCCACCAGCCGTGAGGCTCGGGCCTCTGCCTTGCCCCTCCACTGGGCCTCAGCCCTGCCTCTGTGCATCTTTTTAGTTCCTCCTCCTCCAGGCAGCCCTCTGGAGTTTCCCACCTAAAAGCTGCCCCCTTCTCCAGGACTCTCCAACATCTTCCACTTCTCAACAGGAGCCTCCCAGGCTAGGGGCACCTCACCGAGAGAAGCTGTCAGTTGGGTGAGGTTGGACTATTCTCCACTCTACATGGAGCCCAACCTGGACCTTCCTGACTCCTGCACTCCCTCACCCCATGTCTACTGTGCTTCCAGGGACGGGGCCTGATCTGGCAGTGCCTATACCGCCTGAGATATCAAATGTCAGCAATGGGGCAGGAGAGAGCTCAGAGGGCAGGAGCATTGCTTTGCATGCAGGAGACCCAGGTTTGTTCCCTAGAACCACCTGCCCCCTCACTCCCACCCACCGGCACCAAGCTGGGAGCAGCCCAGGAGCACTGCCAGGGATGGTCACAAAACCAAACAAGTCGGCCATGGCGACAGCCACACTGCTGGCTGAACAGAGATGGCCCTGGGGCGCTGAGTTTGGGGATAGTCTGACCCTCCTCTCTGGCCTCCCCCGTGTCAGGGTGCTGGGGGCTCTGCCTCCCCTCCTCTGGGCGCTGTACCTCTTTGGAGTGGGGACCCAGGCAGCGGGTGGAGGAGGGGAGGAGGTAGGGGCTGTTCTCCAAGTGATGCCTCCGGGGTCCAGGGCTCTTGCTCGCTAGGGAATGTCTCTGATAAGAGTCCCTCAACCACAGCCCCCCCCCCCCCCCCGCCCCCTAGCCCCCTAGCCGGGTGAGCGGAAATCCTTGACTCCCAGGACAGGCACAAATCCATCCTGGGAGTTGTTTGTTGTTTTTAGCTGGGGGGGGGGGGGGGGGATTCAGCTCCTGCCCAGCCCAGGATTATTGACACTCCAGGAATGCTGCCCCCCCACTCCCAGCCCTCCAGCCTGTCAGCCCCCAAGGCTTCCCTCCTCCCTCCTGCTTAGGAGAGTTAGAGAGTGAGGAGTGGGCAGGGATGGGACCCTCTCCCAAAGCCTAGTGGAGTTGGCCTCATTCTCAGAAGGGAAGACGGGAGCGCCCCCCCCCCCCCCAAAGAGAGCATGCTTAGCCATGCTGCTGTGTAAGAGTGAAGTCTCCTTCTGGCCCCTCTGCCCTGCAGCCCCCTTGGGTTTCTCACAGGCCGTGCTCTTGCGCCAAGACAGGTTTGCCCAAGCTCAGAGCCTGGCTCGTTCTCAACAAGGACACCTCAACCACATCGGGAATCGGGGGTGCCCTCCCCACCTTCCCGGGCACTGGTGGGGTGGAGAAGAAAGAGGGGGGGAAGGAGGGAAGAGGAGTCCTTCCCTACAGACACAGAGCAGAGAAGAGGAAAGGGCTGGACAGGCAGGAGCACCGGAACCCCACCTTGAAGACCCAGTGCAAATTCACAGAGGAAGGAAGGGACAAGGGGGCACCAAGTGCTCCTCTTCACGGGTGAGGGTGCAGGTGAGTGAAGAAGCTTAGGGCTGCTGGGACGCAGGGAACCAGGCACCAGGGAGACCAGAGACAGCCTGGGACTGCTGTGGGCTCTTCACGGGGACACGGGTTCATCCGGGTGTGCACACGGGCAAACTCAGGGAGAAACGGGCTGAGATGCTGTGGAGAGCACAAGCCCAGGGAAGCTGGGGATGAAGTCAAGATATTCAAGGCCTGCTCAGCTCCTGGGGGTGACTGTGCCTGGGAGGAATCCTGCGTGGCCCTGAGCTTCTTGGCATGGGCCAGGAGGACACAGTAGTGGCTCTAAACAAAGGAGGAGTTCAACTAAGGGCCTGCAGGCGGGCGGGGGGCAGGGGGGGTGCCTCCTATGCCTCCAGCTTTTAGAGGTTCCTATGAGAGAACCAAGCCAAGATGACAAGAGCCAGTGGGTGTGAACTCGGGGGGGGGGAGCAGGGATCCTTGGAGGTGTAAGGGGCCTGTGGCCAGCCATCGAGCTCCCCTGACCTTGGAAGGAGCAATCACCCAGAGATGTCGGCGGGGAGATGGGGACCCCCTGCTGCAGAGAGCTGGCAGAGAGACAGGAGGTCACTAAGGAGCCCCAGCCACAAGAGAAGTGTTTTCAGGGCTGGAGTGATAGCACAGCGGATAAGGGTGTTTGCCTTGCATGCGGCTGACCCCGGTTCGATTCCCAGCATCCCATATGGTCCCCCGAGCACCGCCAGGAGTAATTTCTGAGTGCATGAGCCAGGAGTAACCCTGTGCATCACCAGGAGTGACCCAGAAAGAAAAAAAGAAGTGCTTTCACCCAAGTCATAGTGCCCCCAGTTTCTACGCTATGAGGTCAGGAAGATAGCAGCGGGTAGGGCATCTGCCTTACATCCCATCCACCTGGGTTCTGTTCCCATCCACCCGGGTTCTGTCCTTGGCAGCCCATATGATCCCCTGAGCCCTACCAGGAGTGGTCCCTAGGCACACAGCCAGGGGTCAGCTCTGCACACTGCCAGGTTGGCCCCCCAAACAAAATAAGACAAATTGATATGCTGAAGTCATAACCTCCAGTACTTCAGCACGTGACTTGACACGGGAACTTTGGAGAGGTGACTAAGGTCAGTGAGCTCATCAGGTTGGGTCCCAGTCCACTGTGATTGGTGAGGTCCTCACAAGAAGAGGCTTGGGCGGGGCACAAAAAAGAAAGGACAGAGGTGGAGGCACTTGCCTTGCATGCAGTTGACCCAGGTCCCGCTAAGGGCCACTCCTGAGCAGAGCTAGGTGTAGTCTCTGTGTACCACAGGATGTGGTCCACACGCTGCCCCTTGCCTCCCCCCACCCCCACAAAAAAAAAAAAGAAGTTTGGACACAGATACACAGAGAGAGAAGCCCATGAATGTGAATCGGTCATCTGTGAGCCGAGGACAGAGGCTGACATTGGGGCTTCAGCCTCCGGGACCAAGGGGACTGTGTTATATGTCATGGCAACCCTAGGAAATGGATAAAGAGGCAAGAGGAAGATGAGAAGAGGCGGGGCGAGGAGAGTGCTTCAAACGGGAAGGGCTGTCCTGGGACTTAGGAGTGGCTCATTGGTGAAGGGAGATGAAGAAAGACCAAAATGAATCCCTTAGAGAGACTCGAGAGGATGGTCTCAGTGAAGTCTCAGAGATCCCCATAAAGGCCAGCGCGCCATAGGCTATGTCAGTAGATGCTTACCGATGGCCAGTGGAGATAACTGAATTTCTCACAGAAATCTGGTTCTGGGCCGGGAAGGGTGCTTTAGCCCTAGAGGACTTGTGTGCCTTATACATGGGAACCCCTGCATTTGATCCTGTGGTTCCATCAGAGAGAAAGACAAAGAAAGGAAAGAAGTTTGATGGCGAGTTGGGACAATGGCCGTAGCAGGGCACAGGGCTTCCCCCTTTAGAAGGGACTCTCTTGGGAATGATGGGACTCGAAGGAGCAGTCATGGAGACTGTAGTAAAGGCAGGAGAGAGGAAGATCCACGCAGGAGCAAGCTTCCTCAGTGGGCCTGGAGAACCCAGAGGGTTGCAGTAGTAGAGGCAGCAGAGCCCGGGTGGAAGCAGGCCATGGGGATGGGTGGGTGAGGGGGAGGCTGGCTTCCCTCAGCTCCCCTTCCCTGCCCCCCCCCATTCTCCATCTCTTCCGCCAACCAGCACATGTGCCCGGCGTCCACAGGCGCTCAGCCGCAAGGACAGACGGGAAACGAGCTGGGGTTCAGGTTCGCCTGCGATTTTGCCAGGCAGTCAAGCTACTCAAGAACAGTAGGACACGGGACCAGGGGTGGGGGAAGAAAACAGGGGCCAGGGATGTGCGGGAAAGTAAGTGAGCGAGTTGGAAGAGGGAGCGGTCCATACGAAAGCACATCTGAATGTGAGATTTTCGAGAAGGCGCAATTCTGGGCACTGATAAGCTCAGAGAGCAGGTGGTGCCGGGGAACAGGAGGGTGGGGTGCCGGGAGGGCGGCTCATCCAAGGAGACCCCAGGTGTGGGGGGCAGGAAGGCCACACAACTGGGAGCCGTGGCCTTTGACAAATGAAGGGCTGTGTTGGGATACGGAGCCACACCCGGGCCCACACGCACCACCGCACACCCACACAGTGACACCCGCCACGCACACACGCCCACAGCCCTCTTAGACACTCCCAGACACCCTCACATGCACTCACCCTCTCACACACCCCAGACAGCAGATGGGGCGCCCGGGTAATTGGTTAAACCTGTTCCCGATGTCTGGCTCGGCATTGGCAGCGCCCGTCTGACAGGAAAGCTGGCTGGGCCCGCACCGCTCAGCCTGCTGGCCTCCTCCTCCCCCCCTGCTCCGGCTACCCTGGAGTAGGGGTTCCAGCAGAGGCCTGCGGGCCCCAGAGCTGGCTGCCTCCTGGGCCGGAGCCCAGCTCACTTGGCGAGGGCCTGGCGAGGCCCCCCTGGGAAGCCACCACGGCACCTGTGAGGAGAAGGTGGTGTCAACCAAGCATAGAAACGCTGAGCACCCGAGCCAGGCTGCGGACAGAGGCCAGGACACAAGCACCCTGCCCGCTCCAAGGGTTAGAGGATGCGAGAAGATTGTTCCTGGGGCTGGGGCTCAGGCCAGCAGGGTCAAGAACCACCGAGCCAGGTGCTATGTGGGGTTCTCAGAGATGCTCAGTGATGCTCCAGCCCCTCTGACTCTGCAGGTCCTGGGGGGCGGGGATCAGGCTGTGATGGGAAATGAGCCGCCGGGTTGGGTCCCAGCAGTTCCTAGGACCCTCAGGGCCCATCCTGAGACCCTCACCCCAGCCTCTTGGGGGGAGGAGCAGCGGGGGAGGGGAGGGAAGGGAGCATCCTTCTTCGGCTTCTCTTCCCCTTCCCGGCTGCATCTGTGTCTCTTCGAGAGACTCTTTGGTTTGTTCCCTGGAGAGGGCCCAAAAACTCCCAAATTAGCAAACCTGGCAAGCCCGCAGCTCAGAAAATAGTTCATCCTGATTCCATGTTTTTCAGGCTCACAGAAGCCTTTATTAATGAAGTCACAACACCAATATTTACCGTCTGCAGGGAGAGGCACAACACGGGGCTGGATGGGAGGGAAGCGGGGACTCCCGCCCCGCCCTGCGCAGGCCTGGCCTCGGGAGATTGGCAGGTTTCCTTGGGTCCTTTCCAGACCTTTCTCCGGATGACAGGGTGTGCTCTGCTGTGATCTCCCTGCATCCCTTCCCCCACCCTCAGAGCGAAACTTGAGGAAGAGCTCCCCCCACCCACCCACCCCCATCCTCTGCCCCCCCCCACAGTCAGATGCTTCCTCTTCTCCCCTCTTACCCCATACGTTCCCCAAAGCTTGTACCACTGGCCCAGCGGGGTTAACTCGGGGAGAGGGGTGTGCTGCTCAAATGTGAAAGACAGAATTCCTAGCTGGTTGGGGGGCTGGGTCTCTGAGAGGCTAGAGCCCTGGGAGAGACAAGGCCCTCTGGTTTCTAGCACTGACGGGGCCCACGTGAGCAGCGGACAGTCCCAGCCCTCAGGGTCTCTCTGGGTGAGCCCCCTGTGTGGCCACAAGACTGGGTCCTTCTTGATCTCCCTCTGGAGACTTCACCCTCCATTCAGCCCGGTGACATTTCAGGCACCAGAAAGAGCATACGTGAAGGCACAGAGCAGGGGAATGACACCGCTCCCCCAGGACCAGGGAGGTACAGAGGGGAGGCCAAGGCTGGGGAATAAGTGGGGGCATTGTAAGGGGGTGACGCAGCCTTCTGTGGGCTGGAGGAAGAGAATTCGTGCATCGGTGCTGACACAGGGAGGCACCACCTCGACACTCACTCAGATCCCATGCTACCTGGAACCAAAATGGGTTCCAAAGGGAGAAGGGGGTTTGGCTGCTTTCTTGGTGGGAAGATGAGTCAGCCTAGGAAGAGGCTGAGGGGCGTGGAGGGCACCGGGAGGGCAGCTCAGCAGAGGTCAGCTGGAGAGGAGGCCCAAGGGAGCCAAGTCCAGCCCCAGAACATGGAAGTGAAGGCCCAGGCAGAGGGCACATGAAGAGTAGGAGGCTCAAAGCTCAGCCCCGGGTACACAAGGCTGCAAGGCATGGGGAGCGGGCAGAGCTCAGAGACGCAGGAGGGGTCTGTGTTCTGGGTACCAGAATAAAGATAGGGAGTCAAGGAGGAGAAGGCAAGGAGATGCTGTGCTGAGGAACCCAGAGGGAACAGGTTGAATTGGACCATAGGGGGTTATGGTCACTAGTTGGATTGTGGTCACTGTGGTGGGTTTGTGGTCAATGACTGGGTCAGGGCCAGTAGTTGGTTCATAGACACTGTGGTTGATTTGTGGTCAGTGATTCGTTCGTGGTCACTGTGGTTGCTTCGTGGTCACTGTGGTTGGTGACTGTCCTCAGCCTCAGCAGGTGAGCGTTGGGAGCACATGAGTGGGGAAATTGAGGGATACAGAAAGGGTGTGGGGAGGGAAAGTTAAGTGTTAGGAATGTAGCTTTCACTTTTTTAGGATGAAGGAAAATTTTCTGTGTGGTTAGAAGGAAGAATCCAGGGACAGCCAGAAGGGCAGCAAGAGCCAATGAGCTGGTCAGGCTGGGCCTGGGGCTCCCTCTAGACTGGAAGCTTCTGAGTCTGTGGGAAGCAGTCACAGGCCCAGCCTCAAGCTCATTTCTGAAGCTCGAAGACAAGGACCTGTGTGAGGGTGCCAGGGCTGGGCCCGGAACACCAGCCTCTGTGAAACGGGGCGCCCCATCCCCAGTCCCTCTCTTCCCTCTTCGGCTTCTCTTCCACTGGGGGGTCCTGAAGCCTGGAGAAGCCCGCAAGCACGTACATATGTTCATACACACACATACACACACACACACACACACACACACACACACACACACACACCTCAATAAGTGTGGAAAAGCCTGAGCAGAACCCAAACAAAGAACAGGAGCTAATAGAGAGAGTCTCCAGGGACCCCCCACAGCTCCCCACCAGGCTCTTAGGCTGGGTCCCCAGTTCTGGGGCTGCAGCTGGATGCCAGGCCATTACGAGAGAGACTTTTATTATTCCCATAGGGAAGGGAGACACAGGGGATCACTAGGAACTACAGTGGGCGCCTGGAAAATAAATTAAAACAGAAACGCATCGAAACCAAAAAAAGGGGCTCAGGAAAGAGCGGCTGCAGTGGCCGGCGGCCTGCCAGGCAGGCACCTCTCTCAGGAGGTCGTGCGGTCCCAGGGCTCAGCCAGCCCGTGTCTTGTCCCTCTGTCGGTGACGGCCCCTGGCTCCATGCCCATGGGGGCCGTGACTCGAGGTCTCCCCTCAGCCCGGCCGGGGAGTGGCCAGAGTCTAGCCAGGCCCACCCGAGGGCCTGGCCAGCAGCGCACAGCTCTCTGCCCTCACGGGGTCGCGGCTGCCCACCCTAGTCATTGGAGGTGACATCGATGTCCTCGCCGTTGGCCTGCTTGGTGGCGATGCGCCACCGGTTGATGTGGTGGGAACCCTTCTTCTTCTGCTCAGACTCGGGGCCCTCCTCCTCCAGCTTCTGCCGCTTGTACTTGGTCCTCCGGTTCTGGAACCACACCTTCACCTGGTCCGGGGAGGGAGGGCACAGGTGAGAAACATCGGGAGGCCCTAGCCCCGCCCAGGAGCAGTGGGGGAGCCCCCAGATATGGTCTCTGGTGGCTTCTTGAAAAGAGGCAAAAAAAAAAAAAGGCTCCTCCTAGGTTGATGTGAAGTATGAATGGGAGGAGGAGGAAGAGCCACAGCTTGGGCCGGATGGATTTCGGAGGCCAAGACAGAGGGGCCAGGGGCCGTGGCGCCCTGGGCTGGAGGTGGCGTCCACACAGGGCGCAGAGCACTGCCCGACTCTCTGCTCCTGCCTCTGCCTCAGAGCCCCCCAGCTGGGCAGTTTCCCCAGGGGATGCCTTCTCAGGCTCTCGAGGACCATTCTCTTCCTCGTCACATCCAAGATGGGGAGGTCTTGAGTTTCAGCTCCTCAGGACAGTCTGAAATCCACCCCCTGGGGCGTGGGCCTGTGCCTCCTACTTCCCTGGCACTGGGGTGTCTGTGCTCTGGACTTCCTGCCCCTCAGCACCAGGCTCTGCAGCTCTTTCGGATGTGGCCAGGCCACAGGAGCAATGGCAGGAAAAAGCATAGGCAGCAGCAGTGAACTTTTCTTTTTTTTTTTTTCTTTTTGGGTCACACCCGACGATGCACAGGGGTTACTCCTGGTTCTGCACTCAGGAATTACTCCTGGTGGTGCTCAGGGGACCATATGGGATGCTGGGAATCGAACCCAGGTTGGCCGCGTGCAAGGCAAATGCCTTACCCGCTGCGTTATTGCTCCAGCCCCTGAATACTGAAACTCCCCACTCCTGGGTCAGAAAAGGAGAGAATGGTAGGGGAGGATTGAAAGAAACCCACTAGCCATCCCTTGTGAGGAGGGGGTGACCAGAATTGGGGGAAGCCTCCCGCCCACCTTGACTCATCTCTCCCTTCTCCCTGCTCCCCAGCCCTGGGAAGCCTCTGGGAGGACTCCCAGAGACTCAGCAACTCCCACTCCTCCTGAAGCCCCCCACGCCCAGGTCCCACCAGACCAGCCTCAGGGCGTGGGTGGGCCCGGTACTGAGCCAGCACCAAGTGCCTCCTGCACTCAGGTCGCCAAGCTTCTCTCCTTCATCCACAGCAGAGATGCTTCCTGGGGGTGCTGGCAGTGCCCCAGGGAACCTCCTGGGCTTTAGCGCCAGAAACCTGCTGGGGAGGGCGGTGCTCAGAAGCCAGAAGCCAGGGGCCTGGCCTCCGTGGCTGGCTGAGAGGGTGGCCTTCCCCTGAAGCCCCCTGCCTGCAGGACCCGTCTCAGCTGGAGTGACACCTGGATTCATGCCCCTTTCCTTGGGCTTGGGCTGCGAGGTGCCCCAGGTGCCTCTCAGCACAACAGTTTGGCAGCCAGCCTGGCTCCAGCCCCCAACCCCGGAGCCCGCTGTATGTGCACCAGCCGGTAGGCGGGTGAGCTCACCCGGCCTCCTGCGCAAGGCATGTGCGTGACTCAGGGCTGGATACGGGCTGGGGCAGCCTTCCTGAGCACCCAGGGGCGGGCTGTGGGCGTGATGGGCAGCCTGGTGATGGGGCAACGGGGCTGGCGCTCGGGAGGGTTCCTCTCTGCATCTTCCACCCCCTGCTCCCAAATCTTCTTCCAAGGTAAGCAACAGTCACTCGCCTCCAGTCCTGGGTGTGCTGCCTGTTCTTCTTGACTAGTCCCCAGCCTGAAGGAAGGACACTGCCGAGTTGGAACGCCAGGCACGGGCTAGGTCCTGGCTAGGTCCTCAGGCCAGGGGCAGGTGCCTGGAAGCTCCCCATGAAACGTGGATCTAGGGACGCTCTCCCTGAAAACCAGCAGGGTCAAGGGAAGCGCTCTGGAAACAGGGCCGTCCACCCTCTCCCTCGGCAGCCTGGCTATCTTCCGGAGAACAGCCTTGGGCTGAGCGTCCAGATGCTGTTTACAAAGACTAATAACATGGGGATGCTGGTGACTTAGTAATATCAGTGGGAAAAAGGCAAGATGCACAGTTTGGGCACAGTGTGATCACAACCATGGAAAAACAGAATCTACACATGGAGGGGAAAGACTAGAAGGAAATGTACTCAAAGAAGGGGCGGCTTATCTTTCTGCTTTCACATCTTGGGATTGTCCTTAATGCCTGACCAGTAATGGTGACTAAGAACTATTCTCTTCTCATAAAGAATAGGGAACCTCATGGCCCCTCTAACCCAGCCAGCAACTCTAGTGTACCCCTTTTCCTCACCCCAGAAATGCAACTTGGGTAGGAACTGCCAGAAACACCTGGAGTTCATGATGCAATTGGTGTTGCATTCGGTTTGGGTGTTTGCACATTCACAAACCTTTCACTATTGCCTAGTGTCCCCCATATTTTATGAGGCAAGCCCCAGAAGGGGTCATAACCCACAGCTGAAGAAGAGGACAGAAGGTCTAGGAAGGAACCAGACCATGTGGCATGGATGCTGACTCAGAAGGAGCCTGTGCCTCTTCTGCGCCCTACCCAGCACCCACACATAGCTCCTCTCTATCCCCCCTAATTCATCCCCGGGATTATTGAGTAGAGGAACTCTTCACCCATCTCTGCTTCCTCTGGGTTTGAGGGGAGTTTCTTTGCAGTTTCCCAAGTCCCCACCTTCCTAAACATCCTTTGGTTTTTTCAGATAACCCTGATCCTTTCAAGATCTTCCACCTGGGAGCTGGAGTGATAGTACAGAGGGAAGGGCATTTGCCTTGCACGCAGCAACCCGGGTTCAATCCCTGGCATCCCATATGGTCCCCTAAGCACCACCAGCAGAGATTCTGGAATTCAGAGCCAGGAGTCGGCCCTGCATATTGCCAGGTGTGGCCCCAAAACAAAACAAAATACAAAACAGAAAACAAGATCCTCCACTTTGGCTTGGAATATGCTTACTTAGCCTTCAGAACACTGCCTGGATGTTTCAGCTTCCTTCGAATATTTTTTTTGTTCTGTCTCAGGAACCATGACCTTCCTCACTTCAGCCTAGTGCATTAATTTCTTTGTTAGAACCTCAGTCTTCTGTCCAGATTATGGGAACCCTAAGAAGCTAACCGGTGTGTTATTTGGCTTTTGAGACCCAGTGGGCAGAGTTCAGGTAGCCAGGATCCACCAGTCGGCCAGAGGAGAGGTGACCTACCCCAAAGCTCTAGGTAAGGGGTGTCCAAGTCAGACCCGGAAAACAGATACTAATTTCAAGGATGGAAGATTGACATATAATTATAAAGGGGTTCTGGAAAGTGCACACTGCTAGAGAAATGGAATTCTTTCCTTGACTCAGTTCAGCAAACATTTATACAGAGAGTCGGTTATTGAGGGCAGGATAGTTTGAACCACACCTAGGGAAGACTCATGACTACTCAGGGTCTACTCCTGGCAGTGCTCAGAAGACCAAATGTAGTGCTAAAGATCAAACTGGGTTGGCTGCATGCTAGGCGAGTGCCTTACCCCCTATATTATCTCCATGGTCCAACAGGGTAACTTCTTAATTCTTCATGTTATGAGGTGAATTAAGCACTTCTTAGGGGAAGCTGAGGGAGGGATAAGCATTGTTGGAGGGGACAAGGGTCAGCAAGATGATGAAGGTGAAACTGCTGAATGAACAGATGTACGAATAGATGTAAGAATGCACCAGTCCATTAGAGCACCCATCAAGATGCTTGTGCTGATGCCGGAGTGACAGACAAAAGCACTAACAAACAAGGCAGCTCCAGGGGCCAAAGTGATAGTATAGAGAATAGGGCATCTGCCTTGCACGCAACTGATCCAGGTTTGATCTCGGGCAACACATGTGGTCCCCCAAGCCTGCTAGGAGTGATCCCTGAGTGCAGAGTCAGGAATAACCCCTGAGCACCACAGGATGTGGCCCCAAAACAAAACAAACAACAAAAACAAGGAAGCTCTAGCTCCAGCCAATGTTTCAGATTTTGCCTTTGCCTGATCTGCTGCTCTGGAGGAGTCATGTTTTTTAATCTTCTTTTCTGCCACTCCTCAGTCAGAGCCCATCCAAAATTCAAGGAGCTATGGCTTCAGGCGCCCGCATGTTCAGGAGAATCCTTGTCCTTTCCTCAAAAGTTCAAATATCCTTATATTCTTGTATTGTCAGCTGTGATACACGAAGTAGTGACTCATGTCCCACTGCTATCTCTTCCACTTTAAATCTCCCCATGTCATCCTCAGACACACAGAAATTTCTAGTGATAGAATGTGCTTGGAGACATCAATCCAGCTACCCTTTGGCAGTTCTCCTTCCATTCCTTCTGGTCCTCTCCTTGGAGATCCATTTTATCTCATTTGATCACATGAGTGGCTCCTTCCACTCAAGCCCAATGCCATGCCAAGTTCAATGCTCATCCCACCAAAGTGAGGTCACTTCTACCCCCCCCATTAATTGTGATACTAACTTTCCCAATCCTTCTGGTTGCTTCCTCTCAGACCAGGCTGAGAGTTGAGACCAGCCTCAAACCATCCTCAGTTTCAGGGAAACATCACTGGATCCTCCTGCCTCCTCCGGACCCTGTCCTCGGCATATCGCTCCTGATTTCTCTTCCCTTCCTTCCTGCTCACCCTGGACTCATAGAATGTCAGGGATGCAGCTCCAGAAGAACAACCAAGACTTCAAGAAGAGATGAGTCTAACTCCGAACACACCAAACTAAGAAAAAAGTTCTCTGGTCTCTTCTTGAGATGCTACTCACTTGGATATCTCCTACTCATTCACCTCCCAAATGTGCCCTAAGGCAGAGCAGACAAGAGCTTCTAGAAGTTTCCTTAACCAAAGGCAGGTAACCACACACTCCTGTGTCTAAAATTGCCCCTTCACTTTGGGGTCCCATGTTAGCAGCCAGACTTGATGGTTCCTACTTTATCTTATTTTGACCACCTCAAACCAACTCTAGGCTGGTTCCTTCACACCAACCTGGGATCCTAAACATCCCTACACAAAGATCTGGTGTGACTTCAGCCACTGCTCTGACCTTAAGGGTCTCTAATCACTGCTTTTACACATGTCCCTTAAGGGCACATTTTGCCTTTTACCCACCATTAAATGAGGCACTTCCAAGGCCAACGGCACTATTTCTGTGTCCTTTGTGTTCACAGCTCAGCTAAAATCACAGCCAGAGGAGACCAAGAACCACCACTGAACTGTTCAGGGCAGGAGAGGCAGCAAGAAACACTGACCAATCAGTCAGCTCAGAGAAACCAAATGCTTCCTCTGATTCCCCAAAACCGAATATGCCCCCCTTCCCCACCACCACACATGCACAGAAGCATGCAGGTCAGACTCACTCCATGTCACCCGGATGCCTGTGGCATCTATGTGGGCACGTGATAGCACCATCACAATCAATGGCCTGCCTCGATGGCACACACATATTCCACACACCCACCATACACATTCATAGTTCTGATCTTACCCAGGCCTGGTTCTGCCCCTGCCAGTCAACAGGTTTGAAGACCAGATGGGCATCTTCCAGGCTGACCTCTAGGGTTTTAGTATGGCAGTAAAAGGCAAGTAACTAGAGGCAGAGGGAAAACAAGCCCTTTCCCAGGGCTGCTCCCTCTACCTCTTGGACCAACCACTGTCACCCCCAATATGTTGCCCCCACCCCAACAAAGCCACTTGGGCTGCCCCACTTCCCAGCATGCCATGCTTGAGCACTGGGCCGGCATAGATTCCCAAATTCTGGATGAAGATCCTCTCGCTGATCTGCTTAACTTTCCCATGGTCTGGTGGATAAAACCCATCCTCTAGATAAACTGTGAAAGGGCAAGAGCAAGTATGAAGACAAAGAGGGAGCTGAGAGCAAGGGGAATGACTGATAAAGTTAACCTATGCATATGTATGCAAGCAAGAGAAATTTTTCCATTCTTTCAATACTTGTTTATATATGCATATATATATGTGTGTATATATATATATGTATTTACAGCTGGCCACTGAGTCAGGTCCCTAGGGTACAGAAAGAAATAAAAAGGCCTCCCAGGTCTGAATTGGACTGTTGTTAATCAAAATCACGGTTTTTAAAACTATTCCTGGGTCCTATCCTGGAACTCCTAAGAGAGTTCTGAGTGGGGTCCAGGAATCTCTGCTGTAAAATTTCTTTGCATGCAACTGGTTTGCAGATTGGCATTTGGAAATGGCAGGCAATTAACAGCAAAGGCCCGTGCATATTATGTTGTGTGGGAGATATGCTGTGAGTTCTGAGCACTTACAGGGGATTATGTAGCAACAAAGAGACGTAGAATATATGTAAGCCAGAAACTCTGGGCTGGAGAGATACCCAGAGTCCACTTCATCTAATCTTACAGGCACATGTTAGAGGCCCCCAAATAAGTCAAAGTCAGAGCTTGTGAGATTATAGATAACCGCCAGCAGATATAGAAATTTACCAATAGCTGCTAATTGAATCTACAGAGATGAAAATTAATAATGAGTGGCAGATACACAGAAAATAAAACAGAATAGATGGTAAAGAGATAGAGGTGGGTGAATAAGAGACACTGGTAGGGAAAAAAGAGGTGTAATTCATAGGAAATTTAAATTCACTAGCTTTGGGGAAGTAGTTTAATGAATGAGCACAAAGTATCTGGCTACATAAAAAAGGGCAACCTATCTGTCCAATGACAGTTGAGTAGATAATGAAGGCATAGTACATACACACAATGGAGTACTATACAGCCACAAGGAAGGATAAAATTATTCAATTCACTGAAACTTGGATGGAACTGGAGGATATCATGTTAAGCAAAGTAAGTCAGAAAAAGAAAGACACATACCAGATGATCTTATAAACCACTAATCTGTGGTTTATAAAATAACAGGAGAAGGGAATCAAAGTATCAAAGGGGGACACCTAAGGAAACCTAGTCTCTAGATTATAGAATTGAGAAAGACAGGAAAGAAAAGTAACACGGGTAGGGGTGGGGATGGGGAGCAGACCTGTAAGCAAATGCAGACAGAAGATAATGAGCAAGAGCAGATACCCTGGTGGTGTAGAAGTATAGTATTTATCTATATATATGAACCACAGAACCAACAAAGCTGAAAGCCTGAGATCCAAACTACAACCAAACTTAAAAATGGGCATGTAAGGGAGACAGGCTGTGGGGTGGGAGGGAAACTGGTAGAGAGAAGTTGACACTAGTGGTGGCATTGCTCATGGAACATTGAATGTCTGAAACTCGCCTGTGAAGAACTTTGTAAATCGCTGTGCCTTAATAAAAATAAATAAAAGCTAAAGCTCTATCTACTTTGATGACAGGCTTAGATTAGAGCGCTCCAGAGACAAATACAGATGCTGACAGTAGAAGCAGAGGGCAGAGGGCTAGACAGTTGGAAGTGAGTGACAAACAGCTGGTAGATGGAAATGCCAGGTCATGCTAAATACTGTTAAATGATAGATAATTGCATTGTTTGGGTTCAAATAACAAGTTATGAGTGACGGATAATTCTGATGGAGAAGACAACATGGCAGAAAGAATACTGGGCTAAGAGTCGAGAAGTCCAGGTTTGGGTGTTTTTAAAATAACACCAACCTCACATATTTCTTTAAACCAAGGGAAGGTTTGAGAAGAAAAGTTAATATTATTTGAGTTAATGGTAGGTGCCTTTAATCTTTAAACAACCTATTTTTTGGATTAAAACACTAGAGCTCAAAGAGGTTAAGTTACTTACTAAAGGTTGCCCAGTTAGTAGGAGGCAGAGATAAAAATCCGCCTGTCTAAGAAGCTCTGTGCTTTGTCTGTCTGTCTGTCTGTCTGTCTGTCTGTCTATCTCTCTCTACACCTAGTCTGTACCTGGACAGATAAGCTGTTATAAGGCGGGTTCTCAAGATCAACCCTGCTATAGCTTTTGTTCATATTTTTTGTTTGTATGTTTTATATTCTAAAACCAATTCACAAGATTAACTATGAGTTTTGATAGCAAAGTTGGATATATTCTAATTAAGTTTTTTCTCTTAAATGTAGGTTTGAAATAATAAAAATGAAAGACGTGGTCATTACATTTATTAACTAGCATTGTTAGGGGCTAATACTGACAAGCAACCAGGCTCAATGTTAACGAAAAGTCTATTTACAATGCTCTCACTGAACTAAAATATGGAAAGTTCTAGAAAGCAATGAGATTTTTTTTTCAACAAGTGTTAATCTGTGGGTGGTGGGGTTGTAAAACAATTTAGTTTACTTACACTTCTGCAATGGAAATTCAATTACAATGGAAATAGCAATTATTTTTAAATAAAATTAACTATAACCATTAGCCATTCTTAAACCTTGTTTAAGAGACAGTTTCAAAACACTTTTCTGGGAGGCAAAGAGAGCATTATTAATTGGAATATATTTGTGTTTAAAGTCAACTCCATTGATTTACGTCCACAGTTAGCTTGCAAAGCTGGAAGAACCAGGTTCTGCCTCCAGAGGAAAGGAGCTGCGTGCGCGGGTCGTCAGCCATACAGGATGGTAAAAGATTGGAGGATGGGTGAGGATCCATAGGGAGTGGGGAAGAGTTGGGTGTGGGTCTCCCCAGGAAGCTCCTTTTCCATCCTCACTGCTACCTAGGAGACCCCAGACCACCACCCCCAGCTTGGAGCCCCCTCTCTCTTGGAGACTAGTGTGGAGGGGTTGGGGGTGGTGTCAAGGCAGCGGGAAAAGGGAGCAGAAGACGAATTCCAGCAGGACCGAGTCCACCTCTTCCATTTGCCAGTCTGTGGGGCTGAGTGATAACTAGGGAGTCAAGTCTTCCCAGGCCCAGGCTGGCCCTGCAATCAGTTCCAGGAGCAGGAGACCCAGCGCGCAGCTCATCAGACCCTGCGGCAGGGTTTATTTATGGTAAAGTCTTTACTTACAATAGACCAGATCTGCCTCCAAAACTCTCATCTAGTTATTTAAACACACATACACACACACACACACACACACACACACACACACACACACACACACCTCAATCATCAGTTGCAAAGATACTAAGGCGTTCATTGTCATTATACCCAGTTCAAAGTCTTTCAACAAACTGGAGTTCATTTCCTCCCCAACGCAGCAGCAGCACTTGGAGAGACCAAAACCAGCCTTGACTACCCAGACTCGACTTTCTCCCACTCCCAGGCCCATCGCACGACGCGCACCGCCTGCACCAGCCGCTCCGGCGTTGCCCGACCAACCGCCCAGCCCGCGCGCAGACCCTCCATCCCGGCGCGGCAGGCGCGTCCGGAGCAGCCTCTCTGCCTCGGAGGTTTATGACCCGTGCGCTCTCTCCCCACACCACGCCCGCGCTGGCGCAGCCAGTTTTGCCCGAGAACCAGCAGCCCAGCTGGGACCAGTGCGGGAAAGGCCTGGGTTTCACCGAAATCCACCAACACCGTGCACACCCTAGAACCCCGGCTGGGGGAGGGCTGAGTCAGGCGGAGTCCGGGCACACCCGCGCCGCAGCGGTCAGGGTTCGGCGGACAGCAGTCTGAGGGTTCCTGGCTCTGCGGCCTCGCGATGCCTCCTCATTCCGTGGCACCAACTCTGGTTCGGGAGCAAGCTGACTGAATCAGCACCGATCTCCTCCTCCCCTGGGTCCTTAGAGCCCCGTTAAAGTCTCGCAACCTTTGCCAGCGGAACGCAGGCGAGGGTCATGCGGGAGCGCCTCGGGGGTGGGTGACTTGGGGACGGCGGCGACGGGGCTGGAGTTGGCCACGGCAGGGGACTTAGGTCCGTCCTGACCGTTCAGGCAGTTGAGCCTCCACCTCCACCTGGGCCGGGGCCCAGCTGGCTGGTGGGGATGGAGGGTCGTGGGGGACAGGCAGGACGGGAGGCAGAGGGGAGCGATGGTTACCTGCGTCTCCGAGAGGCTGAGGCTGCCGGCCAGCTGCTTCCGCTCGGCGCCCACTACGTAGTGGTTCTTCTCGAAGGCGCGCTCCAGCCGCAGCAGCTGCGAGGGCGAGAAGGCCGTGCGGATCCGCTTGGGCTTGCGCGCGAAGGGGCCGTGCAGGAGAAGCCCGTCCTGGGGCACGTCGCTGGCTGCGGCCGCGCCACCGAAGGCAACACACGCAGGTACAAACAGAGAGAAGGGGCGCCGTTAGCCGCCGCCGGTCAAGCGTGGCCCTGGCGCCCCACTCTCCTATCCTGGAGAGCCTTCTCACCAACACAAACACACTTTCTCTTTTGCCACCCCTTCCCTCCGTCCACTTGGCTCCCAAACACCTCTGCACCTCAGTCAGCTCTTCGTGGGAACCACCACCACCGCTGGGCAGCATCCCACACCGTTGGGTGGGAAGACGAGTGCAGACCAGCTCAGCCACAGTGTCTGGAGCCACCACAGTGCAAGAGGCCACAGTGCAAGAAGTCACTTGGGTCTCTTTGTTCACCCTTTCCAAGCAGTCTGCTCCCTTTCCGGTCTTTGTCCACTCCCCACCCCCATCCCACCCCATGATCTGCTTTTAATTAACTGGTTGGGGCTTATCGCCCACGGAGTGGGCTAGAGTGAAGCCTGGGCGGGGTGAGAGGCCGTGATAAGAGGACTAGCAGGGCTGTTTGCAACCCGGCTGCCCAGCACAGATCTGGGACTAGACGGAACCCAAGCAGCTCTCTTTCCACCCCTGCTTCAGTGAAACTTGCTGCTAAATGCTCAGGCTACTACTAGCGCCATGGACATTCCTGCCCCAAGACCCAGGCTCAAACTTGCAATAGTACAAATAGGCTCAAGTCTGGGCAGTACCTAGGGGGTTTTGAGGTCAGATGTTCCCGCGCTTCCCACCAGCCTTCAGGTAACAACCTTTACAGCTGGGAGACTCTTACTGCTCTCTGGTGGGGAAAAGGCCCTGCATCATCCCTGAATAGTCCCGTGCTGTATAATATCTACATGTATAAATATCTACTGTATAAATATCTACATGTCCTCCTTCACTCTAATATATATAGATATAGATATATTGGTTTCTGCATGGGCGTGAGTAAATATATGTTCCATTCTCCCTACTCTCACTGTCTCCCATCTCCAAACAAGAGATTCAAAGAGTTCCCTGAACACACTATCCCTTAGCAAACGCTGGTCATCGTGGGGAGCCAGTCCTACATACAGGAGGAGGGACACGGGTAGGAAATCAGGAACCCACAAAGGCCAAAGACTCAGACCCCCAGCCTGAGTGAGGGGGGAGGGGCAGGCAGGGGCCATCACACAGTCTCTGACTTGGCTGCCCACGCAAACAAAATCAAAACAGACCCCAACAGCACCTATGGAGTCTCTGGTGCTTACAGCGATCCCCCTGACTGACCAACAACACAGAGCCCTTGATGGAATGTTTTGACAGTTAGCTCTGGAGACTGACTGATCCAATTAATTTCTTCAGTAACAGGCACCGGTGTGACTCCATCTGACCTGCTGTTTTGTTCTTAAGACAACTGTTTGGATAACTCCATTGAGAACTTCTGTCCTTGGAACTATCTCTGTAAGGGAAACAAGCACACGCCACGGAGAGATGCGATTGCTAAAACTCTCAGGTAACTGTTCATGTCCCTCTGCTGGTAGAAACTGCCTTACATTAGTTTTTTCAAGTCTCTGGGCTTTGGACACCTATATATGGCAGCTTTACTGCTGTTTTTTTTTTTTTTCTGAGAAACTGGAAAGTCTAAGAAAGGAAAGATCAGTGTCTTAGACTGGGGGTGGGGGAGACAAAGCCCCTGACAGAAACAAGTCTCTGACTTTCAGTCACCTCATTAATTTACAGTGGATGGCTCTGTGATGCTATAAAAAGGGAGTTGGAGGGGGGAATGGGAGATTGAATCACAGGGAGATGGACAAGGCACAGCCTGGCCATGGGTACCCAGGCCTGAGTGAAAAGAAGTTTACTTGTAGTGGTGGAAGAAAGATAGATGGTCAGGGGAAGCGGTCTGGCAGAGAGGGGAGGAAAAAAAGGGGAGGCTCATCCAGACAGGAAAAGAAGGACAATCAAAGTGAGGGGCCCATTATGATAGACTCAAGAAAGGTGGGAGAGGCGGATAAGAAGCAAATTCTTTCATATTGTTGACATCAAACCAAATCATTTCCAAAAACAACATCATCTGAGTCCCGGTGAAATCCTAGCAGTAGTTTAGTGGTCTCCTGGGGTTGAGGGCACTAAAGAAGTGGGGAGAGAGCCTGGCTCATGCGTGTCCCCAGGGTTTGGTCTCAGTAACTCTGACCCAGGTTCCTCAGAAGTGAGATACCCACAGGAGAGATGTGAGGGACCCAAAATACAGGGGTGTCAGGGCAACAAAGGGCTAGAGTATCTATCTACATAAGATATACAAGGTGATGGCCATGTTCTGATTCTGGAGCATAACAGCCGCTTTGTGGGGAAGAGGTTAGTTCTCTGTTCTTATCTTCATGAGCCCAAAGAGTCGGGGGAAGAGGAAGAAGAAGGGAAGAAGGGAAGAGAAGCACCAAACTTCTCTACTCCTTGACATGCTCCTTTGACTCAATCCTGCTTATTTTAGATCCAAACTTAGAGTTTCAAACTTAGTTGGCCTACTGGTCCCTTTCCAGAAAGAAAAAAAATCATGCCCCTCCCCCCACACACACATACCTTCTTTAAGTCAACTAACAGAATCTGTCCTTCCTATTGTACCCATAGTGACTCTGGACGCCCAGGACTGCTCCAGCACAACCCTCCCCTTCCCCCCGCACCCAACGACAATATTGCCCATCCGTGAAAAGGCTGTTTTAGAGGCAAGAGTAGGTGCATAGAATGGGGGTGATCTCATGATGAGGATACCCCTATGTCCTGTTGCAGACTGCACATGTCCTGTGACTTTATCCATATTCGAGAGCCGAAATACAAGGTCTTTCAGACCCAGCCACGGAATATCAAAAGGACAGGGAGATTATTTAAGATGCTGAGAGAAGTGATGGAAGGTTGTTTGATTTCTCAAGATGCAGAGCTTTTTCTCAATAAGAGGATGTCCGAGCACAAAACCAATCACCCAGAGAGAATTGGATCGAGAGCTACATTGTTGCCCTGTTGGTGAGGACATGGTGGATGCCTTTGGAATCCACTTCTGTGTGTGTGGGGGGGAGGGGGGGCTGCGGGGAAGATACCTCAACCAAGGCTTGCTTTTCTTTTAGCTGGACCCCCAAGGGCTGCACAGATGGGGGTCAGGTATTGAGGGTAGCCTGCTTGGAAGAGGTTGACCCCATCCACGAGGTGAGAGTGGCCAGAGGGTTTCACAATGACAGGTGGGCAAATGTAGAGGGGCTCTGTGACTGTCTCTGGAGTAAAGGATTGAGTCCTGCCCTTCAGCCCGTTTCCATCCTCTTCCTGACGTTCCTTAAGGCACTGGAGCACTTTGACTGGGAACTAGCGATAGAGACAGGCAGGAACAGAGGCGGCTGAAGGTGGGAGCTAGGGCGTTCGGGTCCTCTCAGGTGAAGGCGCAGCCAGCTGACCGGCCTGAGACTCCGGCCGGCCGGATGGCGGGCCAGAGGGGCCTGGGGCTAACCCGGACAGCCTGGCCGCAGACATCACCTCCTCCCCTCCTCCTGCCGGAACAAAGGCGCCTTTGAAGCACCGGCCCATTACCGTGGCGATAGGGGAGGGCTGAGTCTCCCACGGTCCCCTCCCGAAGCGGCTTCGCGGCCTGAAAAAGTTCCCGACGTCCGAGAAACAGCGCCCAAGGGCGGCCACCTGCTCCGCGTCCCCGCGGGTTCCTCCCCATTTAAACCTCGAAAGCCAGCCTGGGCTCCGGGCTTCGGGGAGTGCAGCCGCCTGGCCCCGACCCTCCCGCGCAGACTTTGGCGCTTGCAACAGCTTCCCCGTGTCCCGGGGGCCGCGGCGCCGCTGGAGATCGCCACGCGCGGAGCGCAGCCGCGTTCCTTTTCGTTCGTGTGGGGTTTCGTTGCGTGCATTACAGCGGGGCTCAAGTGAGCATCGCGGAGACCCGGTTCTCTAGAAAACGCGGCGCCGGAGGGTCTGGGGCGGCTCAGCGGGCAGCCCCCAGGCCTAAGGCTGGCGCAGCAGAACGCACGGCCCGCGCGGCGATCGCGGGTCTCCAAGTCGAAACGTCTCCGAGGGGGCCAGAAGTCGCCCTCCGATGCCCCTAAGGATTGCCGAGTCCGAAAACACACCCTCTGGGGCTCCATCTCCGCGTGCAGGCGCGGTTCTGGGTAGAGAGATCCAACCGTATCTGCCACTCCACTACGCGCCCGCAGCGACTGCAGCTCGGGGATCCGCGGCGATCTACGGGGAGTTTTCGCGGAAGACGTCTGGAGCTCGCCGGCGTGAGGGTGCTCGGAGCCCCTGCTGCAGCTCTCCAAGGCCGAGATGGTCCTCGGGCATCCCGGGCGCGCGAGGTGGAGGCAGGCGGTGGGAAAGGCGGCGAGGAGTGCGAGCGGAGCGGGACCCAAGCGAGGGCGCGGCTGGGGAGGTGCCGCCGCGGGTAGCTAAGGGCTAGGGACCCGCCCGGGCGTCTCCACCAAGCGTCCTCGCTGTCCGCCTCGCTGCCCGCCGCCCGGGGCCGAGGTTCGCGAACCGCTGAGGCTCCCAGATCTTGGGCGCCAGATTTTGAGACCCAGGCTCCAGACGCTGTCCTTAGAAGACTGAGGTGGTTGGCTCAATTTTGAGTAAAAACTTCATTTTCTCAGCGAACGTTGGTTTTAATTAACAAGGTTTCTTTCCCAAAGAAACTGACATCATAGGCATATACCCCCGCCTCCCCAATTTGGACAAATCTTTGAAATCCCTTAGGGGGAATGCAACCCTGCCCACAGCAATCTTTTTCAAGTCATTACATGATCTAACTTGATCAGTATATACTGGCCAGGAGACTAAGAAAACTGATAAATGGCCCTAGAAAGTGGCTTTTTCTGTTACATTTAGGCAGTTACAGCCAAAGGTTCGAAAGTGTATTTCCCCCCTATTATTCAGATATCTGCCATAAATTCAGTTAATTTAGATTATGTAGACCTGACTTACCATTAGATTAGCTCTAGTAGTCAAAGATTGGCCTTTTCATTGGTTTTACTAAAACTGTGCATCTGGCCCAGAATCATGGAACCTTACAAGACTGAATCCAGCCTACACTGGCAAAATTAAAACGGAGTCTAACAGTTACTCCACAAAATAGGGCCACTGGAAACAGAAGGAAGAATGGAGGAAGGGAAGGAAAGGCAGAAGGGAGGAAGGAAGAAAGGAGGGTAAAAAAGAGGAAGGAAGAAAAAGGGAAGGAAGGAAAAGGAGAGAAAAGAAGAAGGAAAGGAAGAAAAAAAGGAAGGGTAAAATTCAAGGGGTGGGGGAAACAAACTATTCAAGGGGGGAAAAACAAAATACAACTCTCCTTTGGGAAAGTCAAATAATTGAAACGTGGGGTGCCTGTGTGCCTATGTGTAAGCATGTGTGCGTGGTGTGTGTGTGTGTGTGTGTGTGTGTGTGTGTGTGTAAGAGAGTGGGGATCTTCATTAGCAAATCCATTGCCTGGTACAGATAAGGGGCAAGGAATGCCCACGACCTTAAAAGCCCTCTGTCACCCCCCACCCCCCACCCACCTCAGCCTTCGAGGACTGCAGCCAGTCCCACAGCTGCCAGGTGGGCACCTGGAGCTGGCGATCAACCGAGAAAGCCGGCTTATTAGAACCAACCTATCCACCCTGGGCCCGAGAGGCACGTGTGACTTGGAGTAGTCGGGCCAAGGTTTCCGAGAAACATCTCAACACAGGGGTAGTCGGTACTGAACATTAACTTTCCAGTTTGTCCTCCCCGCTGCCCCTTCTTCCCACAGACCCAGGGCGCGTGGTGGACTTTCCCCTTGCCAGGGACGCGCCAGCGAGGTCGGTTCCCTGGGAGTTTGGGTGGACGAGCGAGCTAGCCAAGTACGTTTCTGGGTCCAGCTCGGGCTGAGGGAGGGCGACCGAGTCTGCACGCTCTGAGCTGTAACTGTCGGGGCAGGGAGAGAGAATTAGGCAGGCCGCGGGAAGGACCGGGAAAATGCTCGAAGGATGCGCTTGGGCTTGACTACCGGATCGCACGGGTAGCCTACGGTCCTGGGAAAGCCTTGCGAGTGAGGCGGGGTGGGGAGCGGTCCTAATCTAGCTCTCCAGGAGGGACCCAGAGCTGCTGGAGCACGGACCGGTCCGGCGCGGCTCTTCCGGGCTTGGGCTGCGGTGTCTGCTGACCCGCAGCCTTGTCGGCACAACTTCTGAACCGCCCTGCGCGCCCCCGGGTTTCTCCCAGCGCCGTCGCCGCGCGGGCGCCGGGCAGATGCCTAGAGGTGGGCAGAGCGTGGGCACTCACCCTGGAAGCGGTGGCCGAAGAAGCGGTTCCGCAGGACCCAGGGGTAGAAGTGGAGAGGGTCTCGGTGCTGGGCGCCGAAGAAGGAGTGCGGGGGCTGCAGCGGGGAGGCGCCCAGCTGGTGCGCTGGGTGCACGGTCAGCGCTGGGTGGTTCATGGCCTCGGGGAACACGAGCTCGGGCCCGCCGTAGAGAGAGCGGCCGGCGCCCGCGGCGGCGGCGGGGAAGCCGCTCACGAACGCCGCTTCGGCCGCGCCAGGGTGAGGGTAATTGAGCGCCGTGGGCCGGAGCGGCTCCTCCGAGGCGGCCGCCGCCAGGGGATGGGAACCCGAGCCCCCGCCGCCAGTGCCCGCGCCGGTGCCGCCGTCCTTAGCCACCAGAGACTCGATGGTAAAGCCGCGCTTGGCTGTGGGCTGGAACATGGTTGCGGCCGCCAGAGCCGAGCGAGGCAGCTGGGCTCTGGGGAGCGCTCCGCGTCCTGGCGCCGCCGCCGTGCGGGGTGTGCACCCAGCCAGGCACATGCACACTGCACCAGCACCCCTCACCTCCCCCGCCCGCCCGCGCTCAGCCGCTGCTGGCTGGCCGGCCGCGGAGCTGCGAGGGGCGAGCGAGCGAGCGAGCGAACGCGCAGTCGGGCCACCGCGCGCGGCTAGGCGTGCCGGCCTCTGCGGCCGAGCGGGCAGCTCCCGGCGCGGGCACTGGCGTGGGCTCCGGGCGATGCTGCTAAGCCGCCTCTACGGCCTGGGGCTCGAGCCCGGCCCCCTTCCTTCCTAGTCCAGTCGGGACCGACCCCCGCCCCGGGTCCTCCCAGCACTGCCCAGCCCGGCCTCGGCCGCCCGGGTGCGAGGCGCGAGTTAGCGGGCACCTGCCCCGCGCTCGCCCATTGGCTGCCTCTCACCTGCCCCAAGGTGGGGGGCGGGGTGGGGCGGGGCGAGGGACGGCGGGTGGGGAAAAGAGCCAAGAGTCGGAGGCAAAAGCCGGACTGGAACCCTTGCGGGGCGACCGAGGTCTCTCCCCCATCACCCACCACCGCCCCGCAACCCTCACCCCTGCGGTCTCTGGTTTCTCGGCGCGCCCCCGCCCTGGGCTGGGTTCGGCTGCCGCCAACAACCAGTCCAGCCCTCAAAAGAGTCGAAGAAGGGGACTGGGGGGCCCGGGGCTTGGGGGGACACACACTCCAGCCCCACTCCGGGGTGTGCAACTCAGCGAACCCTTTTGGATTCGTTCCAGGATGTCGTTTCAGTTCTCATTCAACTTGGATCCTTGTAGGGGAAGGTGACTGTTTGGAATGGAACAAATAGGTTCCCCCGAGTGCCCCAGGTCTTCGGGACTCGCGCACTCGCTCTCCCTGGGTTTCCCGGGCCACGGGTTGGAGTCGTGGCCTTTTGGTCGCGTTTTCTGGGTGTTCCGGGGGACTGGTTCGGAAAGGAGACGCTCTTTTCTCCCCCCCACCCCCACGCCCCCGCGGACCAAGACGGGGGCCACAGTGCAAAAGGAGCTGTCGTGGGAGCGGTCAGCCCGGGGCTGTCAAGCCAGTTTTCAAGGCATGGAAGCAGCCCCTTGGCTCCGCCGTGGCCAGCTCGGCGGATTTAGATGTGGATGATGTCCCCCCGCCCCCGCCCCCAGCCACCTCGACCCAGCTCCGCACCCTGCGCGGGGCGAACTGCCGTCCTCGCCCGCCTTCGCTGGTAGCCGGGTTCAGAGGCAGACGGGCCGGGCAACACGGCTTTAAAGGACTGACGGAGCAATCCGAACTCATCCCCAAGAAAACGGGCTACCGCGGGAGCGCAGTGGCCTCCTGCCCTCTCCCGATCCTCATCTCGCACCCGCGACCTGGGAGCTGCGGGCGACTCTGTCCGACCAGTTTGCATTTCGCTCACTCGCTGCCCGAGGGGACGGTGCGTGGTGCTCCGGAGAGCCAGCGCTCGGGAAACTTTTTCACCCCCCACCCCACCCTTCTGCTTCCAGGCCACGGGGAGAAAGAGCCGCGCCCAGGCCGCAAAGTGGGCCGGGGAGGGTGGGGAGGCAGACCGGCACGCGAGCACTGCCCCCGGAGGGCCACCGAGCGCGCCGTCTCCGGTCCCCGGGCACGGTCGCGGCGACCGCGCCGCAGCGGGGCGCGCAGATCCCGGCGTGGCCTCCGGGTGCCTGGCGGCCCGGGGTCGGGTGCTGCGCCGCGGGACGCTGCAGGAACTCCAGGCCGGGTCTTGGGAGTGGCCCGTGCAGTCGCCCGGAGCTGCAGTTCGCAGGAGCGCTCCGGGCGCCCCGGGCGCCACCAGCGCCACAAAGCAGGTTAAAGTCTATTTTCCACTCCAGTGCTCCGAAAAGCCCCCGCGCCCCGAAGCCGTTCCAGCCCTCTTGGGCGAGGTGGGGAGGGGGCGGCTTGAAGGTCGGAGGTGGGGGGTGGAGGAGACCGCGCCCTTCGCGTCCCAGGGAACCTGGGACCCCTTAGCTCCCGGACACCTCAGGCGCGCAGCGGAAAGAATCTTTACGGAATCCCGCACTTCCTTCTAGGCTTCCCTGGATCTTTCGGGTTCTCTTTGCTTGCTCTCTCTCTCTCCTACCCAGTTCTTTCTCAGCCTCCCCATCTATTCAACCCCCCTCCTTTCTCTCGCCCCCGCCTCTCCCACCCTCACCCCACTTTCTCTCTGTTTCTTTCCTCTCCTCCTTTGCTCCTGGAGTGGAGTGGGAGTCCCGACCAGATGCGAACCCTACTGTCTCACGAAGTGACCGAGGGTACAGAGCTGGGCAAGACACAGAACGAGGGGGCTTCCGTTCTATTTTTAAGAGGACGATGGGGATTTGGTGGGCGCGACATCTGCGCAGAGACGTGGGTTCATTTGGATAAGCGTTGCCTGGGCCTTGGGGCGGAGATGGAGGGAACGTGAAACAGAGCAAGTTGAACCCACCCTATATCCTTGCACCCGAGCCTGAGGATGAACCCCACCTTTCAACCGCAACCCCTCCTGCTCCTGCCCACCCCCATGCTTCAACCTCCGCTCCGTGCGTACTCGCTAAACTGAGCAGTTGGAGAGGCTTAGAATATTCCTGGCCCTTGCCTCTACACTGGCCATATCTGTCTTCATTCCCGTGCTCTCAGTACAGACTCTCAAGTCTAGAGCAACGGTGACATCTCCGCTCCTGGGTTTACACAACACTAGGACGTTCCGCTGTCTGCCTCTGACCCCATTTCAAAGATGAAGAAACAGTTCACAGGATCAGTGTCCAGTCTGTCTGGTCACTGTCCGCGTCGGACTGGGCCAGCTCTGGGCTACAGGCTTGGAGATGCGGATGCTGGATGACTTGAATTCTACCTTCATTCCCGCCCCAACTCCCACCCCAAGTGCCTTTCTTGGAGATTTTTATCTTGTGTAACTCTTTCCCCCTCTTCCTTCCCCCTCTCCACCCTTAGATTTTTATCCTTTACCTGATTTCCTCTATCGGGGCTCCTCCTAGGACTTCACCCCACCCTACCCTCCTTATCACTTCCCTGATTGGAGTTTAAGAATCTGTTGCCTATATGGGCTACTGAGTTCTGGATCCAGCATCATTGACCAGACCCCCCAAACCTGCCCAGTGTCTTTCTGTGCCCTCTCCCTTCCCCAGTCTCTGCCAAGCTCTCCCATCTCATGCATTTCCTCTCCCCTGCCCCTCCACACCCCACTACCTTCACCAAAGCCTGCTATCTCTTCCAAGTTTATTCCCCAGCAGTCCTTCCCCTCTACCTCACCATCCTCCTTCTCTAGCTGGCTGCAAAGCTCTGCCAAGACAGAGATTGATAGCGTCTTCTTTATTCTGGGGAGCCCCCAGCCCCACACAGCTTCCAGCAGCTTGTCTTTCTGCACCTGTCAGCATGCTTTCCTGGGATTCCCATCTCCAGCCGTCCAGTTCCTTCCTCTCTCCAGCAGAGCCTAACTCCCGCCTGGAGGCAGTAACCTGGACCAGGCAACCTGGCTCTGCCCCCACATCAGTGCCTCCACACCTCTGTTTCTCTGGAAGAGCCTGATGCTTCCGCTGGTTCAGGGTGGGATGCAGAACCAATCGTCTTGCCTCAGCTTGCGCCAGGCTAATTTCCGAGGCACTCTGCCCTTGCTCCTGTGGGGAACTGGAGAGCCTTCCCCAAAGCTTCACTCTCTCCTCTCAATCCATCAGGTCACCTGGTCTTGTGGTCCTGTGAGACTCCCTTCATTCTTTACAACTCAGTTCAGTTCATCCTAGGAAGATTGCATCCCAGCTCTCCCACCAGCCCTCAGTTCTCACTTACGGGATCAAGTGTGAGTGTGTGCCTCCCTCTCTCTGCTACCTGCACCGCTGGGAAGTTCTGGTAGAGCAGGGCGACCCCCAGCCCAGCCCAGGCACCCTCTGTGTCTGTCTGGCTCTTGTAGAGAGCTGCCTCCAAGCTACATACCAGCCATCTCCTCACACCCTTCACTACTCTCTTTCCTCTCCCCATTCGTCTGCCTGTTCCCCTGCCCTGTGACAACTCTTGTCCTCAGTGTGTCCTTTACTCTGTTACTCTTTCTTCTTTGTCAGACTTCCTCAGTAACTTTCCATCCCTCCCAACTCCTTCATTTCCCCTTGACTCACCACCTGCTTCCCACTCCCCACCCCCATCACTTTGGGAAAATGACTTGCAAAATTGTCAAAACTTTTTTTTAGTGATGTTGTTAAAATAACATGTGTTTATAGGAACAATAATAAGCACAACAGCCTGGTGGAGTCACTGTGAATGAGTTTTTATTCCTACCAACTTACTTAAGCAATGCCAAGCATCTTGTAGGCATTTGAAAAATGTTACCTATTGTTTTAGCAAGGTGTGCTGTCCAATGAGTGGCTACTTATTGCTGGACACGTGAGGGGTCTGAATTAAGAAATTTTGTAAAAGGGGCCAAGGAGGTAGTATAATGCTTTGAGCTCTTGTCTTGCATGTGCCCAATCCTGGTTCTATTCCTGGCATCACATATGGTCTCCTGAGTACTGCTAGGAATGATCCCTGAGTACAACCAGGTGTGAGCCCAAATACCAATATATATTGTATACATAATATATAATACATATATTCTGTGAAAATAAAATGTACAAAAAAACTACCAATTTACAGATAACTCCAAAGTGGGTTGGATATGTGACTCAGAAGCAGAGCATTTCACTTGCATGTGTGAGACTTTGGATTTAATCCTTGGAACTGCAAATAATAATTGTAACACTACTACTATTATTAACAATAATAATAATAATACTGATACCACCCAAGAATTCAGCCCAGAATTTCTTGTTCTAGTTCTATGTAGCTCTATATTTTTCCTCTCCAAGCTTTGCTCCAAAATATTTTTCAGGTGTATGTGACAGTTCAGTTTCTGATAGGAGAGAAATTGTCAGAAGTTCATGAAGTTAATGATATAGAATGCCAACTTCATGAGAACTTTGTTACTTGTGTTCCCAATGCCCTGCATATAATACATGCTGAAAAGAGGTGTGTAAACTGAATATGTTAATTTGAGACACATAATTTAAGACTTTTTCCTAAATTAGAGAGAAAATATAATATTTTACTCCAACAAAAAAGAGAAGTAAACATATGTGTAAACAGGAGAGGTGGATCTAGTCTCCATCTTAAAAATTTCTCCTGCAGATCCTCTGGCAGATAGAAAAGAAACCCAGACATTTTGAACTTGACTCCTCCCCCCAACTGGCTAATACAATCTTGGGTAGGGAGGATTAACAAATTAAAATTTTCTCGTTTGACTCCTGGGAATATATCCCAGAGAGGCAAAATGTGTAGCCGAAGTGACATCTGCACTTGTTTGTTCATTGCAGCACTCTTTACAGTAGCCAGAAACTGGAAGAGACCTGAGT